GCGATATAGAAAAATAAAAGTTTTTTAAGTTATTTATAACCTGGTACCTTGCTGTGAAATATAAGTATGATTTTAAGATTGAAACAGAAAGAAGAAAAGTTTATGGACACGTAATCAAGTTTCTGAAGAAGATTAGGTAAGTTAGTATTTTTAATTATTTGAGGATATTATTTTTATGCATTGTTCTAAATGTAAGGTGAAGTAAAGGAATTTGGTATTATTGGGAAAATTGTTATTAGCAATGATTTAGTTTAAAGTAATTAGGATTGTAAGGTAATTTTTATTAATTTAATGTATGTGCTCATTTATATTTTAAGTAGTGTTTTTGAATTTAATTATATTTTTAATTAAATGATAGTTATTTTGTGAATTTTATGTTTGTAGGAATTTGGTATACGTTTTAGTTGAGAAGTAAACGTGCATGGAAATAATTTAAATATCTGACACTAAGTATTTGTAATGGTTGCGGTATGAATTCGTTGGTGACGTTTATAATATAATAGATGATTTAGAGGTAAAAGTTTTTGGATATTTTATATGTGGAAATGTTCATATTTGGAAAGGGTAATACTTTTTCGCGATCAGGTAATTTCATATATGTTCTTTTTATCGGGTTTTAAAGATTGAGAAAATTGTCATGTATTTTCGTGAAATTTTTCTAATTTATGAGAAAAAAAGCAGTGTACATGGATATAGTGAAGGTGTGCGCAATGCCATTTTTTGTGCAATTCTGGGATGTTTTTTTAAGTAAAAATAAGTCGACGTGTACATGGTTTAGTGATATTTTAATTAAATGATAGTTATTTTGTGAATTTTATGTTTGTAGGAATTTGGTATACGTTTAAGTTGAAGTAAACATGCATGGAAATAATTTAAATATTTGATACTAAGTATTTGTAATGTTTGCGGTATGAATTCGTTGGTGGCGTTTATAATATAATAGGTAATTTATAGGTAAAACGTTTTCGAAATTTTATTTTTTTTATACGTGGAAATGTTCATATTTGGAAAGGGTATATACTTTTTCGCGATCAGGTAATTTCATATATGTTCTTTTTACCGGGTTTGAAGATTCAGAAAATTGTCATGTATTTTCGTGAAATTTTTCTAATTTATGAGAAAAAAGCAGTGTACATGGATATAGTGAAGAGTGTGCGCAATGCCATTTTTGTGTAATTCTGGGATGTTTTTTTAAGTAAAAATAAGTCGGCGTGGTAGGTTTTTGTTTACATGGTTTACGTGTATGTGTTATTTTGAAAAACGCGTAAGGAGTATGGTATTGTGCACTTTTTCCCAATTTTGCAGTGAATATTTGTCATGATTAAGCAGTTTTGTTAGATAAAATTTCTAGCATAAGTGTAATTCGGCTAGTAGATTGTTGGAAGAAGTGTTCAACAGATAAAAAGAAAAGAAACATGTCTTTACTTCGTGAAGAATGGCAGCGGGAAAAAAAAAATAGAGGGTTGCTGTAGGAGAGTTGGTCGCCAAATTTTCGCCAAAAAAACGCCAAGTTACCATAATGTAAAGATCAACCGCATTACCTTCTTTTGATAGTTTTTCCAGGCCATCTACTATATTTATAAAATGATCGTTAGATACACTACAATATTTCCGAGACCAGTATGTCAAATAAGTTTGGAATGTTTACTATATATCTTCTTCGTAGAACAGTTTCATGAAAAAAGTTTATCACATTCTTTATAGTAGCAATAGTATTTCTGATTTCCAATATGCAGTTGAAATCATTCACAACTAAATTTAGTTTGTGACTGGCACAATGGAAAAACAAGACTTAGTCAAAATTTAAAAAAAAAAAAAAAAAAAAAAGAGTTGCATTCGTTTAAGTGGTGCAAGTTCACCTCACTGGCTATGGCCCTGCCCTGTGTTATATTTAAAGAAATTAAATAATAAAGAATCTGCAGAAAAATATGCATGTTTCTTGCACTGTGATAAAACAACGGTACCTAGAGCCATCAAATTTTGAATAATGTACGTCTCCACTCCAATATAGGCATCTGAAAGCCTGAATTTACAATTTGTTTTATTATCTATTTCATATTTTGTAAAGCATTTATGAGTTTTTGATTAAGAAACTAAACGATTTCAAAGTAAGCAAAGGCAGCACTGTATTGGGGGGAGAAATTATCGGAAATTCTAAAGATATGCTCTTTTTAAATTATTTTGTGATATTGCTGTTAAATTGAATTTTATTTAAGTGCAAAGGAATAATATTTAATAAATAAAGGTAACACACAAAACATAAAAAAAAAAAAGCCCCGTTGGGCGTAATATAAAATCTGAAAGCTTTCAGATTTTCTTTTTAAAGTTTCTTTCTATCTTTTTTTTTTTTTTTTTAAATAGTAATAACTGCTTATTTCAGATTAAAATTTCACAAAATCTTCAAATAAAAGAAAAAAAAATTAATTAATCACATTTATTCATTCTGACCTCCTTAAACAGGGAAAGAATGCAATCATATATTATACTGCTATCTTGTATGAATGGATAAAAGGAATTAAACCTGAACTAATTAATTTTATTCAATCTTTCTCCCTTAAAAGGAGGTACACAACAATGAATTTTTAATACTTCAGACTTATAAGAATGGATATGAAAGAGAAAGTAAATTTTAAATGCAGATCATATGACAAATGGAATGCATTTTCATGTGATAAACAGGATGCATGTGATAAAGAGTCAATCAAATCAGAACATGCAACAAACAGGATGTATTTATTCTATTAAGAAAAATATGAAATATAATCATACCCATAAAAGCAATGTGAAAGAAAGAGTGGCAGAGGATGAGTCAGAAAATGAACTTAAGGAGTATATACTAAACAAAAAACAAAAATGCAAATATTTGAAAAAGAAACATTCACTGTTACTCTCAATTCCTAAACACTTCAAATGTATTTTCCATTGATGTCGTATGGTAATCAAATTGTATGAGACATTTGCTACAGTGTTTCCTTAACTGAATGTATATTAACATTATTATGTATATTAACATTAACAGGCTGTTCTGAAGCATAATTCTTGGTGTATTGTCTCAATATACAAATTTTAAGCTATGTTTTGCATTCAGAGGTGAATTAAGCACCTTTAAATGTCAATACAAATTTATCATGTATGCAAAAGATTTACAATATAAAAAAATAACTACTTTAAAAATTTTCTGCAACAATCATAAGTAATATTTAGCCAAAATCATTATATTCCACTGAAAGTTTATGATGGAAAAAGAAGATACTGGCTCACCTTATGACAAATTTTACACAAGCTGCAATGACCTGTTTCATTTTTACCTTCCCAATAGAAAACAGAATAATATATTTGTTCTGCTAGTGCACTATGCATATTTTTAGCACTTTTTAATTTTTTGATTTCATCGTTCAATTGAATTTAAAATATGCACCATCCTTATAGCATCTTTTGCTTTCTTCTGAAATGCTATTTAATTATTTGTATCAATAATTACTCCAGTGTATTGCCATTGCTCGCTATGAAATCATTTAGTTTCTTAATCAAAAACTCGTGAATGCTTTTTCCTGGATTTACAAAATATGAAAAAGATAATAAATTATTTATATTAATTAATTAATTATTGTATAAATAATTAAACAGTTAATGGAAGAAAATTAAATAGTAAATGGAAATAATTAACTGCAAATGGAGATTTAAACTTATCCCCAAAGAACTGGAATTCAGTAAGTTAAAACTGACATTTATACATTATTTGACAATCCTATTTTCAGAACCTACCATTTGAAAATATGCATGGATTGTACACTCAAAATATAATTTAGAAGTTACTTCGCAGTTTAGGTTTGAAAACAGTTGTATGGCATTAATTTATTAGGTTTTATGTAACAATAAAGAAATTCCAAATAGAAATATTGTAAAACAGCATTGACTAGAAATAACTTCAACAATATCGCACATATTTTAGTTAACTGTTCACTTTTATTAACTGGGATATTTTTTTAAGGGTTCAAAGAGAAATGAAATATTTTTTTAGAATTGATAAAACTAATTAAAGCTTTATAAAAGACACAATTTTTCAAAATGAACAAAAATAAAGTGTAATGCTGTTTTGAAGAAATTTAATGAACAGGTTTTTAAAAGACACTTTTTATAATACAATTTTATTATATCATACTCTGCAAGATATAGGATTTGGACTCCAAAATTTTTAATAGTTTCCAGAATATTTTGATTTTGAAAAATAAGATCAAGAATTACCCCAGGTATCTTATATAATGAAAGAGAAACCTTTTATGCTTTACCTGCAATGACACAAGCATCTTTAAATCTCCTGTGCTAACCTTTCGAGACACAACATTCATCTCTAAAATTTTTCTATTTATAATAATCATAATTTATGTTTAATCTTAATAATCACATAATTTCACATTTCTTGTCTTCAAGAAACATCAAAGACTTATTCTAGCAGTACATGGCAGGACTTTCGAGTATAAGTATATTGCAACATGCATATGACATGCACCCACATGCAAAAACAATCCATTTGCGATATCTTGCACACTTTAAGACATTTTCAGCCTGACATGGGATCTGATAATCATATACCATGAATATATACATATATATGTATACTAGGACTTTTTAGATGTTCTTTAGATATTGGAAACTATAACACGTTCATCCATGAAAAATTCAGTATCGCATTCTTTGAATTAATAAAATAAAAAAATTTACTTATGCTAAATATGAAATTTATTTTTAATACATAAAATAAATACAACACAGTTAGCCTAAAATGAACATCCAAAATTACATCTTATTCATCCACACATACATTATTTCATTTCATTCATTAGAATAATTTTCACTTTCCTATTGACATAACTAATGCATGAAATTTTAAAACAACAAATTATTTAACACAGTTGGCAGTATATAATCTTAAAAAATAGAAGAAGTATGAAACAATAATTATTTTCTAATAAAAAAAAATCACTTTCATTTATACTTACATCTGTAGGTATCATAACATACAATGTAGAGACGGAAATATAAATTACATATGCATAATTCAGCAAACGGCCTGTTTTTAAATGCATCATGGTAACATTTTCGTCAGCACATGGAAGAAATTTTCTATGTAAACAATAACATCGCTTCTTCTACCCTGGCTATAGTGTATAGACTATTTCTAGTACACTATATCCTCACCTATGTACGCCTATTTTAGGCCCATTCGATATAGATTATTCATTTATGATAAAATTCATGTTTCCAAGTTTTTCCATACACATTGCGACTTCCATTCTCAATGCCTATGCATAACTTATATGACATTTGGTCTCCATTCTTTGCTGTCTCACGCTTATTCACAAAGCCTACAGACCGTTTCTGCTGCTGTTTGCTCCGATTGGTTAAAACAGGAAACGTAGGGTTACAGAATCTAGTGCTTGGCGACTTTTGGTTCATCGCCTTTACAATTTGCATGTAAGCGTCGTACGTAATTCACCGGAGAAACCGCAGCTCAGCGGTAACGAGCGCGGGAAAATTTCTCAGCCTTCTAAGGTCGCCGGTTGTATCCCCGCTCGTAGCTGTCATAAACTCTTCTCTACACTGATTAATTATTATTTTAACTTTATTGAATGACTTTGTTATTATTTGTCTTTTCGCCTTCGGGTGCGGTGTTAAAAATTAAGCGCCTTTATTTTTTCTATTTTTTTGTTTAATGTAATTTTCTTATTTTATTTATGGTTTGTACTCTTTGTAGTAGGTACCAGTAGCGAGATTATTATCCAAGATCCCGAAAAGCGTTTCAATAGAAATAGCATATAATGGAATAAAATATAATTTTAGTTATACTTACTCATAATTTATGTAAAACGAATAGGTAGGTTCCGACGTCCTTAAACGTTTACTGAATGTTTTCATTTGGTTAATTTTTTATATTCCTTATTTGTATAATTTAATGTGTTATGGAAATTTACACAATAGACTCTAACAGAAATGACGAAAAAGTGCATATGCTATCTCCATGTAAACACCTTTTTCTTGTAAAACAATTACGTACTTTTAAAAGTTTAAATTCAAATACAAATAAACTACTAATAAGATTAGTAGGTTATTTAAAATATATTCCACAGAATTCTTCTAAGCTTTCATTCATAAACTAAAAAAATATCGAATGAAATAAACGCTGTTTTCTTTTGTTCGGCGTTAATTACCACGCCTACAGGGCGATAAATCGCCATTTCAAATATGAACGCCAAGCAGATGTTTCCTCCAATGAGAGCAGCCCATACAGAAATGGTCTGTAGGCTTTGTGAATATGCCTGTCTCACGTCTTCTGCTGAAGTCGTCAGTTCCGGTTTCCTGTCACCCCATTCCTCGCCTCTGCCCCAACTATTTATTTCTTTAATTCAACTCCGGCGCTTAGCTCCCTTTGTATTCTTTACTGAGTATTTTTTTATTTAGATTGTACATGTTTCTAAGATACTGCTCTAAAAAATTATCGGGACGCATTTTCGTTCTTTATCGTCACGCATTGGTAAAGCTGGTAGGCATAAGCATTTAAGTTTAATTACTATTTAAAAATTTAATCATGAAGATTAATTACAATTCCATATTTTGCAAGATAATAAATGCTTCCCAATTAACAAATTAAAATGTTATCAAGCTTATGCAACATTTACTAATTTGTAAATGGCAACATTTAACATTAGTAACTTGCGAATGGCAACAGTGTGGCTATATGTAAAAAAATCTAAAAAATAGTAGAGTTTTAATATTGTATTGATGTGTAATACATAGTATTTTGGGCTTATGAATAGTTTTAAACAGTTAAAAGTGCAAACTCTTTATTTTATAGCTTGGATTACTAATGCTTGAAAAGTTATTATTAGTTTTCATTTTGGATAAAATCCATTCCGGCGCTAAAGTGCAGAATCGCCCACTTATTTGTTTAGCGGTTTTTATAACAGTAAGAATTGAATTTTTGTCAATTTTCTTTGACCTTTTTAACCCGCAAGCGCGCGATTAAACAAACCTTTCTCAAAGCGCACATATTTCCATAAGTCGTTGAGGTCCAGTGTAGTCGTGTCTTAGGTAGACCTCTTTATATTTCCGAAGTTTTTTCGTTGGGACTTTATTTGGAGTCCTGATTTTGATGCGATCGGGTCTTTTAGACCCAGCGCGCCTATTCGTGTTACTATTTCATAGTTTATTTGTGATAGTATAGAAAGTGGCAAAAATGTCATGTTATTTACTATATAATGAAGAATGTTGCAAAAAGTAATCAGAGGTATCAACTGACGAAGAATGTATTGAAGAAAATGAGGATGGAAGTGATCATGAGTTTTTAATTCACGATTCTGAAAACGAGTGTGAGAAAGTCAAAGTTTTTGTAGGGAAAAAATTATCGGAAGCAAAAAAAAGTAAATAAAAAATCCATTGTTTGTCCAGCAAAAATGTACAAAAAAAAAAAAAAAATGCGTTTCGCCGAATGTGAAAAATATTTGTGTTTGGAACACACGAAAACACTTTCTTCAATGTGCACATTTGTTGTTGCATTTTCATCTGCGTTTGTTGTGCTAATAAAGAAAATAAGAATTGACACAGAGTAAAGAGTAACGATACAGTACTATTTTTTACCCCATGCTAATAAATAATTAGATTTTCTATTCCTTTAAGAAATTTTGTTTCATAAAAGCATTTGGAGAAATTAAAAATTTTAACTTGCATTTTTTAAAATTTTATCATAAAATTTATTAACTACATAAATGTCACAATTTTTCTGAATATTCACATCATTTTCTTCAAAAAACAAGAACTGGGTCGATGTGCACATGGATACCAAGTATGCGCAATTCGTATAAATATGCCAAGCATGGGCGATTCTGCACTTTTCCCCATTCCGGAATAAAACTGTTGCCTAGTTGTGCCGCATACCATCTCTCATATTGCAAAAGTGTAATCTTTTCCAAAGTAACACATATAAGAACAATATTTTACTATTTTTATAATACTTTTTGCAATAGGTTTACTAACCTTTATGATATTCATATATAGTAGTTATATAACTTTCCTACAAATTTTATCTTCCAAATGTGCACTATCACTTGCATCAAAAATTAAATGTCAAGATAAAAAAAAATTCTGCAACTTGCCGTCGTCTATATTAGTATTAGCCCATTAAATTTATTTATGGACCTTTTATTTTTTGGACAACACAACAGAACATAAGTGTTTTATACATAGCATATAAAAGAAATGAATTCGTTTTAGAGCGGAAATTTCCGTGTTTTGTTTTTGTAGTTCTGGGTCAAAGCATATTTAAAATTAAAATTTGAATCTTTACAAAAAAAAATTCAACTACAATTTCATCCTTTTTAATACCCATATGTAAACACAGTGGATCTGTATATGCATTTATCAGAAACTAGATGTTTAATTTTCAATTTTACTAAGTTATAATGACAGCATTAGATCCATTATTACTTGTAATGTTGAGAATTACACAAAACACTAGCATACATTTTAATATAGTCAATCTAAGCCCCTCCCCATTTTGTCCGAACTAATAACAGCCTAATCAATTACTTTTGTGGACTATTTCCTAAAAGTGCTGATAAAGTTAGATATTTTCTAATAAATTTTTGGAAACCACTAATTCATTTGGATTTTAGTATGGAAAATAATTTACAAAATGATATATGTATTTCCTTGTTTCTGAAAATATGAACCAGTTTCTTTCTCCTTTTATGATATTCATTTTTATACATTAAAAGTGATAGTATGAAAGCCCTCTATCATACATTTGGTCTCGATTCTTATCAACTTATTTTAAAATTTCAGTATTTCCAATATTTTGGGACTTGTTTAAAAGTATACCTTGTATAAAAGATCTGCAGCTTTGAGTAGAATCGATTTTGATTTACTGCAATGGATAGAACACGAAGAAAATTATTAGTTTGACTTATTTGATCTTGATATCTTCCCTTAGAAAATGCAGTCTATGGGTAGGGATGCCTTCATGGAGGATTTTTTAAGGAAAACTGGCTTTCATACATATTGCATGTGGGAGAAACAACCTATGCAGTCAGCCCATTTGCCAGGATTTAAGCCTCGGACAGAGTCGTAGCTAGGGTTTTCAGCGCCCAGGGACAACTGACGATTTTGCGCGCCCCCTACTGCTTGCCAAGGATGGAAAACATTTCATTCTAAAATGTCGTAACATCAGTTTGGTGCCCCTTGGATTCTGCGCCCGGGGACAAATGCCCCCCTCTAGCTACGCCCCTGGCCTCGGACCAAATTACCTGTGTTCAGCAACTTTACCGCTTGGCAGCTGAAAGGCAGATTGTTGAAAAGAGTTATATTTACTATAAAATTATTAAGTAGATTTGGACTAGCGTTTGGAGGTCTTGGTCTGTACTCAAGAATCCCCCCCCCCAAATTTTGGAATATTTTAGTGAATATAACAATATTTTCAATCTGCATTTAGAAAAAACATGTTAATTGAGGATGAGGAAGTTTTAATTATTTCTTACATATATGTGAAGAATTCATCAACATTATTAACAAATATTTAATAGAATATATAACAGAAGAAATTAAATCAGTAACATACTACAGCCTTATACTTGATGCTACACCTGATATTTTACATGTTGATCAATTGATATTAGTATTGAAGTACTTATTGCCATGTGGTGATGTTAAAAAAAAAAAGGTTTCTGGGGCTAATGGTTGAAGAACATAGGGCATCATCTTTGGAACAAGTATAGTCCACTTTAGTAAACTTAGGTATACACAATAAATTGTGTTGAAGAAAAATTATGACAATGAAGCAAATCTATCATGGAAATACTCAGTATTACAGGCTTTTACTAAACATTACAGTCTAAAGGCAATCTATGTTCCTTGTGCTTAATAATTCTTTAAATTTATTTGATAATTTTGCTGCAGAAAGTTATAGAGCCGTTGTTCAATATTTTCAGTTTCTGAAAAAGTTTGCTAACCCCCTCCCCCCATCATTATTGGCAAACTTTGAATTGAAGCTGAAAAGGTGTGAAAATAATTCAATGTTTAAAAAAAATCTCCAAAGATAGTCAGTAAAAGGAGATGGGATACTGGCTTTAAAATTTAGTCGCAACCATGTAAAACAAGCCTTACCTGACATCTGTGCTTCAAGTTTCGAAATGAAAGCTACATATCTTTATTTATAAAACTGCAAATATGAAACGATACTCATGACAACAGTTTGAACTCATGAACAGTTGCATTCTGTCATGATTTTTTTTAACAGAGATAAAGAAGCAATTGTTATGATATCATCTTTGACATTTGACAAACAGGATGAAAGTAATGAAGGATCTAAATCGCTTTCATAGCACGGAAATTATTTTGAATTCTTTTAATTTTATTCATAATAATATAACATCAGAATGTAGAAATGAAGTATATAACAATAAAACAAAATTTTAAAAGATTTAATTAAATGTTGTTGCATTTAGGGGGGGGAATAGCATGCACAGAAAAGTTAAGAGAGATGTATAAAAGCTATACATTTATACATTTTGAGGATGGTATCAGAAATCAAAAGAACCATTAAACTGTATTGCTCTATTTATATGGAGCAAGAAGCATTACATAACATCGATACTTTTGAAAATAATTTACGACTTTGCTAGGAAAAAGTTATTAAATCTTCTAGTCAATATTAATTTAATTTAATAACCGGTTATTTTAATTTAAAAATATTCCATGAAATATTTTAGCAGTCTGATAGTTTTCTTTCAGAGAACATTTAAAAATAAGAAATGATTATTATAATTCCATAGAAATAAAAATATTAAATCACAATTCTATCAAAAAATTCAGAATTTTAAGTAATTATGTGCATTTAATTATTTATTACACTTCAACACTAACTGCATTTTAAGCATCTAGATATGTAAATACATTCCTGGTTCTAGATGATATTAAAGTATACGAAAGTATGTGCAAATACCACGTAGCAGATTTCAAAAAGAGCAAACTGCAAACTATAATTGCATAAAATGTATGAAAATTCTAGACATGCATTTGATAGGGAAAATTAAAATACAAATAGAAAATTTGGTAGGCAAAGGTAGTGTGTTATTAAAGAATGCCAAGTTTAGTAAGATCTCATTCAGTGCACGCTGGTATGAAATTTGTGTAAGAAGTTTTTTTTCATTAAAATTACAACTGGCCAAGGGTAATAAAGATGCTTATATCAGCAGCTTTAACATGCACAAATGCATACAAAGTTTTTTTTAAATTTTTATAAGATCATACAATCATATCAAAACACTAATTAATGCAAAAGGTATTTTTAGGTTCAGCAACACTAAAATAAAGAGACAATCTGATAAGCTTTGAAAGCAGTCATATTTTGAAAATTATATGAAGCTTTCTCTTATATAATGTAAATTACCAATGAATTTGATTAGATCATTCGATAAAGGATAAAACACTCTGTGGTTATATACCAAAAAGAAAAGATAACTTTAAGCATAGACAGAATGATGACACTTGCAGACACTTTATGAAAATATACTGAAAAATTTCGTATTTCTCAATGCAAAATGTTAAATGAGTTGCATCAGACCTTGTCCCAAGCAAAAATTTATTTCTATCAGCTATTTTAAAAAATAATTCTATCATATCCCAACTTATTGAAGAAGCAATAGAAAAACCTTTCAATTAACATTTGTTTCCTTTTAATCACAAGAAAATTTCGGTTGATATAAAATTATGCATACTTTTGTATCCATAGAAAGTTAACTTTGGGAAACATGATTTTGCCATATGTGCAATGTGCTGATGTTGCGATTAGGATAAGGAAATACTTATTCTACGGTATATTTGTTATATTATTATAACTTTGTAAAATTTTTGGATTGATTAATATAATTGGGATCTACTTAATTATCAAAAATTGTACATGGTTTTTAATCATTAGAAATGCATATTTTCAAGAAATATATAAAAGTATATTAAAAGTGGTGTTTTCCTTATTATTAAATTTTTAGCAACAGAATGAACTGTTAATTAAAATATGAGAGCAAGAAAATGATATAGTGATTAGAATAAACTCTGAGTAAATTTAAATAACTTACTTCTGCATATATGTAAAATATAAAATATGAAACAAAATTGTTAAACATCACTGGAAATATTTGGCAATAGACCTCTAAATTCATAAATTTTAATTAAACACATCCCTGGCTTCAAAAATACACCATTTTCTGTCACTACAGCATGTTACATCACTCTTTTGACTGAAGTTCGTATGCATTACTTTTTCTCACCTGCTGTTGCTTGAGTAAACCATGTATCTCACTTTGCATTCCTTTCCTATTGTTTAACACGTAAACTTCGTATATAGAAGTTATGGGGCACATTTAACAGCCCTAGTGTTGCACCAGTTTTAAGTAAAAATGTATTTCTAAATAATTGTTCTTGTGCAAATTAAAAATGATATTTTAACCATCAAGCCACTTGTGATTTTTGCACCAATCGTCATCTAAGCTCCAGTCTTCTTGGCCATGACTAAAGAGAGAACTGGTTTCATCTTGCACAAAAACTACATCACATATATACTTTTAACCTCTAAAATTATTTGTTTAATATGACTTAACAGATAAGCTAACAACTTAAATTACTGCATTATTAATGATCTGCATTCAGATACTGACATGCTCAAAGCAAATATCATAACAAATTGACTAAAAGCTTCAACTAATTTTAAATGATAATTCTGATTTAAAAAATGTACTAACTCATATGACCAATTAACCTCCATGTTATTACATAATATAATGAACTTTTGTTTTGTGTTCTTTAATTTTAAATTCAACTTTGTCTCGTCCGTCTTATTTCTTGTCTTAGCTGCATGCCTATTTTAAAAAACATATCAGTTAACATTAAAACATTATTTTATAATAGTAAAAATTACCTATTTTAAATTAAAACCAATTAGTAATAAATTAAAAAATTAATTATTTTATTATATACCTAATGGTGACTTTTTTTTAATGTGACGAAACTTACCAGAAACAAACAGGTAAATACTTTTAATTAGTTAATTTTAAAATTTAGTTTTCAGATTTGATCTGACACTGATACATGCATGTGTGTATAAGCAAATATGTAGATATATACATCCATATATGAACACATATATACATCCATACATAAAAAAAACATACATGCATTTCTGAATACAGTCCCAATAACAGAAGAGTATCTGTTTTGTTATATCTTGCTAGCTGCATATACAAAAAAATACAGTCAAAAGTCGCTAATCCGGACTTGTCGGGACTTCGGCGATTCCAGATTATCGAGTTTTCCAGATTATAGATCATCAGTTTAAATCTGGTAAGATGGCATGCAGAAATTATAAAATTAAAAATATGAAACCGTAATTTATGAAATAAAGAACAATTATGATCTAAAGGGTATCAAAATTTACAAAAAAAAAAAAAGCTTAATATTTATTTGTTTACTTATTCAACATTTCTTTCAATGTAAGTTGTTCAAGTTCCTTTGTTTTTTATGTGATAATACATTCTCTTTAATTCTATAAACAGACATAATTTCTTGTTCAGTTACAAAGTTCCGCTGTTCAAGTCCTATAATTGCTGTGTCTACCGACTAATTTGTTCTATATTTCTTAAGATGCCATTGAAATACTAGTTTAATTTTTAAATCCTTTTTTGATATCCTATGGATTTAACAATTTGGGAATTGACCATGACGAAAAGTCGGCAATAGAATTTTGGGTAAAGTGCAGAATTACACTGCTTGACGCATTTTTAAGAATTGCACATACTCAGTATCCATGTGCACATCGACCTATTTTCACTTAAAAAAAAAATCCTTGACTTGCACAAAAATGGCACTGTGCACACCCTTGACTTTATGACCTATTTTCACTTAAAAAGTAAATAAAATTGACAAAAATCTAATTATTTTTAACCCTTGTAAAAAGTGGCAAACAAATAAGTGAGCGATTCTGCACTTTACCGAGAATATTTTTAAAGAAAAGGCATCATTCATTATAGAAAATTACGTTTGAACAACCGAGATGAAATTATGCTTTAGCGATAAGTCGGTAGCGAAATAGCGATGCAGGCATCCATTCAGTTATGTTTAGCAATTTTTATGTATATTATAATATAACGATGTGAAATAGTTATTTACTCTGATGCTTCCATTCAGTCATATTTAGCCTTTTTCATATAAATTAAAACAACAATCTTAAGATAGTTATTCACTATTATATTTCCTTTCTTGCCGCAATTCTTTTTGGCAGCATTGGCATCAACGATAATTTGGGCGATTTTTTATGGCCCTCGAAACCGAATAGTACCGATCTTTTCAATTTCTGGGCCACTAATATCATGTTTTATCAAAGCATTTATTATGGCCATAAGCTGATAAGTGTTGCCGGTACCCTTCTGTTATCGGGACTGGATTCAGAAATGTATGTATGCACATATATTCATTCATACAAACAAAATGCTCCGCCACATTTCGGTGATGACAGAATAATCAGCCAGCAATTTTCTAGACCTTGGCCTCCTAGATCCCCCCCCCCGACTTAAATCCTTGTAACTTTTGGCTGTGGGAATATCTGAAACCATGGTCTACCATGATCCCATCATATCTCTATCCGACCTTAAAGAAAGCATAGAACGCCATGTGCATAAAATTCCCCCAGTTCATGCTGCTTTCAACAGTCGAACATGCGCCTTTATGCTTCCAAATGATAGCAGACAATGGTGAACATCATATCAAGCGTGTATTGTAAACTTTTGTAGATTATTTATATGTTCTCAATAAAATTATGATATGCCACCTAGAAGTGGTTTTTGAAATTCATTGTTTTCCCACCCTCGATAAAATTCCCATAATTTCATTCTGCCATTACCCAGTTTTCATGCAATTCCGCTGTATACTTTTTGCTACAGACTGCTCGCAAATTTCAAGTTTAATTACGGACACCCTGTACGTCACCATAAATTAGCAGACCGTTAGTGACCTACAGTAATTTTATCATTAAATAACTGATATAGTTAATTAATATTACATCCGACTGAAAATTTTATGAACACTTGAAGTATTACCATAAAAGTGGTTCTAATGTTGTATATTATATACTTGGTACAGAATACTTTTTAAAATAGCTTATTTTAACGTAGATTTTAGATCTAATATTTCAATAAAAATTTATTGTATTTCAATAAAATTTTATAATAATAATAATACATCATATATACAGTATCCTATTTCAGTAAAGCTTATTCTATAATTACGAGATAGGAAACAAGAAAATAAGTTAGAAAATTATAAGGACCTGAAGGAAAAATCTTGGCTGCCTTTTAAATAAAAGTACCTTTTATACATTAGCCTATTTTAGCTAAATTTATATTGACTGTTAACCCAAAAGCATAACTCTAAACTAGTAATATTTATAAAAAATATTGAAAGTACTATTTTATCTTTTTAAAGCTGGCAGTTGAAATTTTGACTTTCCCAGGAAGATTTCTAGAAATGTCTTGATCTTTTACGCTTCTTAAAAGATCTTTCTCTCTCGCAGTAGCCGTTTTTTCATGCAGAAATAACTGCAATGCAGTTTTCGCAGCTTTACCTCGCCTGTGGCTTCCAGGAATTATTTTTACTTTATACTTGTAACTTAACATTGCCGTATAAGGAGCACAAACAGGCACAGCAAATAACAAGGTATCTTCAGGTACTGGGCAGCCAGTCAAGGAATTCAATAATTTTAGCTCATCTGATAAAACATCTTCATCTGCTTCTTCATCAGAAAGATCGGGATCATTACGTGATTGTAAGGACGGCACAGTCAACAAATCATTCTTTTCATCTGATGCAATATTTTTTACTTCCAAAATAGTGTTTTCTTCAGATATTTCAATAAAATGAAGATTTTGTTTTGGGTTTTTTGTTCGGTTTATTTGAGGTTCAGAATTCCGATTTGACTGAGCCTTTTTATTTTTACTTTTTTTGTCTTCCTTTGCTTGACCAGCTGATGCTAAAATTTTCATTCTTAGTTCCCTTTCTTCTTCATCTTGATATTTATATTTCTCTTTAATTTTTTTCAATTTTCCTTTCTGTCCACGTTTCTGAGGATTTTGCTTCTCTTTTGGGGAGTCTTTTTGATTATATTTTACAGCTTCAGGCTTTTTTGACAATTTCTTCTTATGTTGCTGGATAATAACTCCAGTTGCATTACTCACAACTTGTTCACGGCTTGAGCACCTGTCTAGTTCTCGACATCCAGGTAAGACATTTAACTTAACTTCTGTATCAGGGAAACTAACACGATTTGATTCGTCACTTTCACTAACTTCTTCCTCTTCAGCATCTATGTTTTCAAGTGAGGACTTCTGAGTATTTTCATTTGAAATTTGTGCATCTTCTACATGTAACTGTGAGTTTACTTCTTCAGTTCTTTCATCTTCTGATGAAGAAGAAATCTCAATACTTCTCTGTTCACCTTCCTCTCCATCTGATAATTCAACTCCTTCATTTTTGTCTCTTTCGCTAATATCAAATTTGGATTCTTCATTTTTTTCACACCTTTCGTTGATATGATTTTGAATACTTTCCTCATCTAATTTGAATATAAATCCAAACCCCATTATAAGATGAGCAGGTGCCAGATAATTCTTCTTGCCACGGATCATAAAACTACCAGTAGTGAGATATTCACCAGTTGGAGCAGTTTTTGATACTTGATTTGAGTATACCCACCAAGCACTTGTTACAATTTTTGCATCCCATGCAGAGCTGTTACATATAGCCATAGTACCAGCTTCATTTAAAGTTTTTGGTGGTACTTCACCTCCCACAGGATTTTTAATTATGACACTGCTAGCACCATGCAAATCAGCATGGACGTACAAATCATTTGATTTCATATACCTCTTCACAATTAATTCATTTTGCTGCACATCTCTTCCAGCAATTACCAGATAATTTTCAGAGCTAATAAACCATAAAAACTTTTCAAACCACATCACTTTCCGAGCTTTTGTAATGCTAGTAGTGACTGCAACTTCTTTTAGAGCTTGTTTAGTTTTTTTCTCTGCATTTTTAAAGGCTTTCTCAGATGATTCAAGTGTTTTTTGTTCTTTTTTAGCATGTGCTCTTTTCATATCATAATACTTCCTAGCATTCGCATAAGCAGAACAATCTAAATCAATGTCAACTAACTGGGGCTTCATTTCTTCGCCATCATCACTATCAATATGTGGGTTACTAAGCAAAACAGTGAAATGATTTATGTCTAATTTCAACTTTTTAATCGCTTTTGCTACTGGATCTCCTTCAAGCTGCGCTTCTTTGATAAGATCCTGAATGTCAGACCAACTGATTTGATTTGCAATAGCACTTCTGATAACTAAAATTGCCTTGTCTACCAGCTCTAAATTCATTTCAATCAACTGTGCTTTACGTATATCTTCAGCCTGGCTTTGTAACAACTTTAGAAGTCGTTGCTCATGATCCTTTTTGACATTTTCAAGTTTTTTTAAAGCTTCTTTTTCTTTCTGAAATGCCTTCAAGTCAATTTTTTGACCCTCCATGCTAGAAAAATAATTATCAACTGCCTTATCAAAGCAAGGATATTCTGTATATTTCATATCCATATACTGATGGAAAAGATAAGGGTGAAATTCCACATTTGTAATTATTTCACTTCCATCTTTATTACTTTTTTCAACTTTATGGATTATGTAGCCAACAGACTTATTAGAAATTTCTTTCATCAACATATCAGCTTCCTGTAAACACAAAAATAGCTTTTTGATATCAGTAGGTGCATTAAAATTTTTATTGATAATACAGTTTTTGGGAAAACCACTTTTCTGAAGTACATGCTCAAGAACAGCAGGTCCAAAATGAACTTGAGGCATCAGTATCTTTTTCAATGAATCACCATTTTTTGCATTATTTAAAACAGTTTCTATAGCATCACGATTGAAACTTTCAGCTGATGACCTAACTTTTTCCACAGGATATCTCTCCCGAACAACGAATTTAACATCTTCACTATCAGTAGCTCTAGGTCTTAAAATGTTCAAAATTGTATATTCATAATCAGTCAACACAATATTTCCTCTGTCGTACAGTTCCAAAATAACGTGATATGCTGCCTCATTGATGCCGAATTGCAAATCAACAACTCTGTCCAATCCTAACTGAGTGATTTTTTCTAACCTTTTATTCTTTAAATGCTTCCTCATTTTCATTGAAAAGCCGGAAGGAGAAGGATTTTTCGGCCATTGAAATTCAGTAGTGTGAATTCGAACACCAGATTCTATAAGAAGAACAACTTTTTCTTCATATCTATTTAAACGGAATAAATATGTTTTATTATCAACGTCATATATCTGGTTGACACGCATTCCAATGTATTTTTGCAACTCATTCACAATGGCTATTATATCAACAGTACTAAACCTGGACTTCATGATGAAAAAGTTCAAATGAAATACAAAAAACTATACGGAAATTATACAGAACTCTACCAAATACGCACAATAACCATCGGTAACTTCACTAACATAAATAGAAAATATCGTCAAATCGTGATAAATTGCACTTTACACATTTTTCAGCCTGTTGATAGAACAATTTCACAATGTGGGAAATTAAAAGTTAGGCATAGCTTCCCCGAATTTCTGGGTTATATCGTCGTCTTCATAAAATTGACAAGTTCCGTTTGTGATAATACTACAAATGTTTTATATGTGTTTTTATTCATAAAAGTAAAATCAACTTGTAAATAAATTGGTCCAATCCTAGAAAACGCTGCAAAATCAAGATAGTGTTTACTTGTCTTAGGCTTGGACACGCCTTTTTAGGACGTAATATTGGCTACGCTTCTTTTCTAGAAACAAGCTTATGCTTTTTAACTTCATATCTGAAGAAAATTTAAATTGCATAAAAACGGAATTAAAATATTGCTTCTACAATGTTACTGCACGAGATTTTTTTTATTACAAATCTACTTGTGCTGTGTGCTATTATTAACATTTAACACATTAAGTTAGCTCTTAAAAGTGCATTATTAAGATTTACCAAACGATTGAAAATATTGAATAAATTATTTAAAATTTCCACCCGTAACTGCTCAAAATAAAGAAAAACAATTCTTTAGCTCGAAGAATTCTTTGATGAACAGGTCTGATGGCTGTGTTTCTGCAGTATAGATAAAAGCTGAGTTTTGATTCTTCACCACTTTGAACGAAAGAGTAAAAAAAGCGTAACTAAGTGGAGAAAATGTTAATTGCAATGTCGTATGAATATTCCATTTATGAAACGAATATAAAACTGGTAAAGCGAAAAAACTACACAGATGATTTTGGGTAGATGCGTAGAGTTACGCGAGGCGAATGTAAGCATCGAAATTCAAGGTCTGTTGAGAAAGACTCGTGGTCTGCAAAGAGTAAATTCAGCGTGTGTTGTTTTTGCAAATTACACATATGTGTTTGATTAACCGCAGGAATGATTTTTACGATCCGAATTAAGAGTAACTGTAAAGACTTACAGATTCGTTGAAGACACGGGGGGCCTGATCATTGTTGCTTTTCGCCTGCCAGAAAGCAAACAGCTGCATAGATTCCAAAGGATACCAGCATTATCATTTGAAAGCAAAAGTACTTTGTACTTCGAAAATTAGGACACTATATTCGGCTGAAGGCGAGGACTCATGGTAAGTTTTATTTATTATTATTGGCTATATTGTACGCCAAATCTGGTTATTTCATTATTAAGACAATCTCTCGGTCATTTCTTCTGTGTTTCTGATTGTTGACTGTTGTTTTTAAATCGGTCTATTTTTAAAAGATTAAAAACATGAACACGCTTTTATTTTTATATTGGGGTATACGTTAAAGTCGCAACAGTTCTAGGAGGATTGTGATCATGTCTGGTGCTCAATAGTAAGGTTGTGTGCAATGCCAAGGTTGTTCACGGTGCCAAGTTTGGGAAATTATGTGATTTTTTTTTTTTTTTTTGGTACTCTTCTGTTATCGGGACTAAATTCAGAAAGGTATATGTGTATGCAGATATGTATGGATGTAAGTGTTTACGTATGCTTGTATATGTGTATTGTATACACATACAGTGTCTCAAAAAAGTGATGGGACACTTGTGCTTTACAAAAGGAAACTGTAGTAAAATTAATTTAAAAAACAGTAAAAATTTTTTGTGGGTGTGTTTCATACTTAAATTTAGTAACAATTATTACATAACATACATTTTCTCAAAATATTAAAATATTAATTTAATAAATATGCAATTGTTTAGAACGGAGCAAAAAATGGCACACATAAGTGATGGGACACTTACTTTTCCATCAAATATTTATCCAAATTTTTACTTTTTAAAAGGTTTTAATATTTTGTTGGATTTCCTTTTCCTTTTAAAACTTGATTTAATCTTCTTGGGATGGATTCCACTAACTTTTTTGTGATTTCTGGTATGATTTTACTCCATTCTTCTTGAAGCACCGATTTTAATTGTTGTTTTGAAGAAATGGTGTGTTTGCGAATTCTTGATTCCAATTCTTGCCAAATTTTCTCTATGAGATTAAGTCTGGAGATTGTGGTGGTGTTTTTATTATTTCAGGACAGTTATACAGCAGCCAGAGTCTAACGTTCAAAGCAGTGTGCTTAGGGTCATTGTCCTGGTAGAATTTAAAATCGTTATGAAGGTTCAATTTTCGTGCTGAAGATTTCAAATTTTGATTTAAAATGTCAATATACTTGTACTCATCCATTATACTGTCAATAAAAACAAGATTATCAACTCCAACGAACGACATACACCCCCATACCATAACTCCTCCTCCACCATGTTTTACTGTTGGTAGCAAGTTCTGTTTTTCCCTGGGTTTTCTCCACACCAAGATTCTACCGTCAGAACCAAATATATTAAATTTACTCTCATCAGCAAATATAACTTCATTCCAGTAATCAGAATTCTTATTTATGTCGGATTTTGCGAAAGCCAGTCTGAGTTTTCTATTCTTTTCACTTACGAAGAATTTTTTCCTGGCTGCTCTACCGTGATTAAACCGTGATAAAAACAAGATTATCAACTCCAACGAACGACATACACCCCCATACCATAACTCCTCCTCCACCTCTCTCTGTATCAAGAAAAAAAATGTTATCAATCATTTCCAATTTCTCCGAAAAGTTTAACACTTAAAATAACACATAAATATATATACAGATCTCCTCCATTTGTACATGCCATATATATGCTCACTCCATTTTTATTTTAGTATTGTACATTGTAAAATAGAATGAAATAATGAAAATATAATTTTTTTATAGGAAAGAATTAATTATTTTTCCTTTATTTCTAAATGAAAAAAATTCGTTTGGTATACATCCAAGGATCTGGAACAGATTAATGGCGTGCACCAAGGTACTAATTTACGTAGTTGAATAGTATCGAGGTACATTAATACCTCGGTACTATTTAACTATTCGTCGAAAGTTTGATAATTTAATAAATTACTGTTCATCTCGGTACATTTGAAGTTTATTATTATTTATTTTTTATTTATGAAATTTTTATTATTTTAATTATTCATCTTATTTATTTCTTTTTATTTTATTTATTTATAGTTATTTTCTTTTCTGCCAGCCTTCCGTAAGGGTCCGGGGACTTCTCATTTAAAAAATAAAGCTCTGCGCATGTAATGCATTTCTTGCTGAATTCAAATACTTTCCATAAATAGTTGTACAACGTAACAATAGATGGCGCCACCATCCCTCATAGCAAGTGAAATCGTATTATTTTCTTGAAGTCAAAATCTTTCGTTTTGTACTTTTATCGGAGGTTAATTCATTACATTTTAATAGAAGTTACACTTTATTTATACAATTTTTTTGTGATTCTTGATTTTTGATGATGATAAGCGCTTTTAATAGGAATATACTATACTTGATGATCAAAATTGTGAAGATGGGCAAATTTCGGTGATAGATTAGCATTAATTTTAAAGTAGGGATTTCTCAACAGGGTTGGTATTGACATCCTGGGGGTCATTGGAATGTTAAAGGAGGTCTATGACGACAAAAGTTCGACAGGGTGTCGGTAGCCGAATATGCAGCTGAAATTTATTGGCATAATCAAGATCTCATTAATTACAAAAAATGAATTAATTAATAATTAATAATTATCACACAATATATGTCAAATCTTATTCAAAACACATGGACACGCTAAATTTTTGCATTTCATCCAAAGAAAATATCCCAGACTTAATGTTGTTAGCGGACCAACAATTATTGACGTTTCTTGTCTTGTGGAAGAACTCTTTAGTGAAGTTATAAGGAATTTTCATCGAAGTCCGAATCCGGGAGAGGACATAGCACATTTTGCACGTTCCTGCATCGATATAACTTAATGACTCTACAAAGTCAATTAGTAATTTCGGAAAATAAGAAGCATATTTAATATTTCTGAACGAGAAGACTGAAAATTTCATCAGTGCATTATATGGTGACTGAAAATTTCATCATACATACATGTGGTGGCAGCGCTTGATGTATTGATAAAAAAATTTCATCAATACATCAAGCGCTGCCACCACATTAATTAAAATCGAGCGTTTGGGCATTTAGAATTTGTGATTTTGTGTTTGAAAATTTGTTTATATTCGCAAAATTAAAAACAATAATAAAAAAAAAAAAAAAAAAAAAAAAAAAAATCTGAAATGTTTCAGATTTTAAATTACGTCCAAAGGGGCGTTTTTTTAACATTTTGTGTGTTACCTTTCTTTATTAAATATCATGTTCCTCGCACTTAAACCATAAGATCCAGTGCAACAGCAATATCGCAAAATACTCGTAGTTTTAAAACGAGCCTATCTTTAGAATTTCCGATACAGAGACTCACGCGCTGGAGATAAAAATATTTTTTCTGCACAACGTTGCCATTGCTCGCTTTGAAATCCTTGAGTTTGTTAATCAAAAATTCGTCAAAGTTTTAAAAATAGGAAATCGATCATAAAACAAATTTCAAATTTCAAATTTGGTCTTCCACATGCTCATATTCGTTGGAGGATTACGTTATTCAAAATTCGATGACTCTATGTACCGTTGTTTTATCACAATACGAGAAATATACATACATTTATGCAGATTCTTCATTATTTAATTTCTTCAAATAAAATGCAGGACTCTAACATTTTGTGGCAACAGTTTGAAAAGTGAACCGATATTTATGAGTCCGACGCAAAATGCCAAAACGAAACTAATAGTCCTTCGGGATTCAAATCCCTTTGGACTAATACAAAAAAAAAAAAAAAAAAAAAAAAAAAAAAGAAACGTAAGTTTAGTAAAACATACTTTTTCAAAAACCATACTTCTTTCAAAACTTTTATTTACCTTCTTAGTCTAAACGTTATTTATGCGTAATTATTTGTAATGATTATATTGTATGTTACATATTACAGAGAAAAATCTACGGGTGTCGATGAATAAACTATACTTTTAAAAGAGGTCGATCCAAAAAATGTTGGGAATCCCTGTTTTAGAGTAACAACACTTCATGAAAGTCGAGATAATTTTATTCAGACTGCTCCTCTTGAAG